TCGGATGTCAAGAGAATGACCAATTCATATAAAGAAAAACTAGGCCGTGGTGGTTATGGAGATGTGTACAAAGGTAATCTACCAGATGGTCGCCCTATAGCTGTGAAGGTCCTTAATGTATCCAAGGGGAATGGAGAAGAATTTATTAATGAAGTTGCAAGCATTGGTAGAACTTCTCATGTCAATGTTGTTACACTTCTAGGATTTTGTTTGGAGGGTGAAAAGAGAGCTTTGATCTATGAGTTCATGCGAAATGGGTCATTAGAAAAGTTCATCTTCAAGGAAAGCACTTTGGAGGACAATCAGAATTTGGGATGGGAAAAGCTATATAGTATTGCAATTGGAATAGCTCGAGGGCTCGAGTACTTGCACTGTGGATGTAACACAAGAATTTTGCATTTGGACATAAAACCTCAAAACATTCTTCTTGACGAAGAATTTTGCCCGAAGATCTCTGATTTTGGGTTGTCCAAACTATGCTCTAGAAAGGACAGTGTTGTGTCAACAATGGGGCCCAGAGGGACACCTGGGTATATAGCTCCAGAAGTCTTTTTCCGAAACTTTGGGGCTGTTTCACTCAAATCAGACATCTACAGCTATGGAATGTTGGTTCTTGAAATGGTTGGAGGAAAGAAGAGCGTTCAAACAAGGGTAAGTGCTAGCAGTGAATATTTTCCCGATTGGATTTATAGGCATCTAGAATTGGTGGATGAACTTGGACTACAAGGTTTAAAGTCCAAAGTAGAAACTGATACCGAAAGGAAGATGATATTGGTGGGGCTATGGTGCATACAAATAAAACCTTGTAACAGGCCATCGATAGAGAAGGTCATTGAGATGTTAGAAGGAAGCGTGGAAGCTTTGCCAATTCCACCCAAGCCTATTCTTTCTTCTCCCCCAAGACCTCTACCTGATTCCTCTGCCACATCTAGTTGCGATACCATGTCACTACTAGATTAATTTGTATACCTGGTTTATCTTTTATGTCTTTATAAGGAATTTGTACTGATTGTTTAGACTATAAATCTGTGACAGTACAAGGCTCATGAATAGTTTCATGTTAGGTTGATATGTTAGTTTTCCTTGTGTTTGGTTTAAGTGAGCTATTGGCCCACAGCATTAGGATTCCATGATAATGCAATAGATATTCCTGGTGAGGTCTTGACTCTTTGAAAGATGAAAGCATGATTACTGGAAGATTTTTCTGTCAAAATCCATTTTTCATAAATGCAACATAATGCTTATGCATGGCAAAACTTTGTCATTAGTTTCTTTTTTTTTTTTCCCCTTCTTTCTTGCTGATGCCTTGATTCGTGCCTAGAGACTCTAGACAAATGATTTTTCTATTTCTTTTAGTGACTTGATAAACCCTTCATTGTCTCATTAATAATGGTAAAATTTTAGCCCTAGAAGAAGGTTGCTTTGGTACAGGACTACTCAAAATTGGAGGAATTCATATCATTTATCATCCCTTGAGTTCATATCTTGCTTTTGTTAACAATTGTTATTGCTAAGGGAACTAGAGTATTGTTTACCTGTTTCATGGTATATGTTCAAGAGGAAGAAGTAACCAATTATACCAATGGGCGTTTTCAAGAAGAAAACCAAAGTGACTAAGATAATATTTGGGATGGAAAAAAAGGTCGTATCAAATTGCAGCTAGAATAGCTTGAGGGCTTCAGTACCAACTCCATGGATGCAACACAATGATTCTACATTTGGACGTAGAGCCTTGTAGCATTATTCTTCATGAGGATTTTGAACTATCAAAACTATGCTAATAAATTTAGAAAGGTTGATGAAAGAAATAATTTTGAAAAAGTTGCATTACAAGCATAGGAGAACAGAGGGAGATTCTTATCTAGCTTAGGAAACTGCTAATACATTTAAGAAAGTTGATGAATGAAATAAATTATTTTGTTTACGCTATAAATTACCGGAATAAACAAGCTAGAACACAAAAATCAGGTAAATGAGCTTTATATACCAGGTAGAGCTTGGTATCTCCTAAACCGTATGTACATTCCAATTTGGATTATAAGGTCTAGTCTGGGATGAAATTTACAGACACCAACTTTTGTTGAATATATGGTGTTGTTACAAGTTGTACACAGTATTCATTATATGCCTTCAAATTCTTGCAAAATAAGAAGCTGAAAAAACTCAAATACTGGCATTAGATGTTGAAGAGTTGCTAACCCATTTTGCAGTAACAAAATCCGGGGAGAGAGTCTGAGGTCCACTCTTCAACAACACATCCTTAATTGCTGAAACGTGCATCTAATCACCTACCTCCACTTTATTGTAGTTTCCACTCTGTACTTCCTTTAAAGCCTCATGGACCTCTCTCATCATTGGTCTCATGTCTTTCCCACCTTGAAGGCACTGAAATGCCACTGTTGTCACTAAAGTTATCATTGTTCTTATGTTGTAGTCTGATTCAAACCCAGGAGATGGATCTACAAGCTCGTGCAATGCTTGGTTTTGAATCTTGTTGATGGCCATGTTAGACAAGTTTATCTCTTGGTGGTGCCTGGTGATGTCAACCGCTGGCTTGGATGATATTAGCCCAATCAAGACAACCCCAAAGCTAAAGACATCACTCTTGTCTGTAAGCTGGTAGCATTCATGATATTCAGGATCAACATAACTAGGAGTCCCCTCTGGAG